TCTTTGAAGGCCTGGGGAAAGCAATACAAAAGCAATAAATCTCCATTGTGGAGTATTAGAAAAATAGGCCAAGCTGCCAAGGTGGTTTGGCTGGAGGGATGAGAGTGCAGCGGCCCCGCATGACAATCCTCTCTTCCTCTCCTCCTCGCCTCCCTGCATGCTCAGTTCTACCAGACAGAGTCAGACCCTTGGGGCTTCAAAGGGCAGCAAGTGGCAGAACAGGGGCTGGCGTTTGGCTCAGCCAGGGCCAGAACATTGCTGGCAGAAGGAGGAAGAACAGCCTACCTGGGCGGGGTCTGGACACACCGAGGCACAGATGTGAGTCTGTTGAGAATAGGCAGCTCCACTCAGAGAGAGACATGCTGGGGTTCACAAGTTACAGGCTGAGCCCACACAACCCAGAGTTGGAGGATCCCTGAGAAGTCATCTTGCCTACCCCTCATTCCTTAGTTGATGGAGGTTCACTCCACAGCATCCCCACCCAAAGGGCACCCAGTCCTCACCTGACATCCCAGGCAAGGGATGAACCTCCTGGGGAACTCAGAACCTCCTGGTGAAGCAGCGAACACAGAGGTGGGAAGCTCGGTCCATGTACTAGCTCTACATGTAATGAGCTCTGTGACCTTGGCCAATCATTTAACATCTTAGACTTCAGCTCCCTCCTCTGAAATGGAGATATTTCCCACTCAGCTTACCCACCCAGTAAGTGACGATCAGATGAGACAATGGAATTAAAGGAACTATCAACTATGAAATATGATTCTAGGCATCCTTGACCTAATATATCTAGTGGACTCTTTGTGTCCTGTGGCCATAGAGCTACTTGATTGTTTTCTCAATGCTCTCGCTTCCCCAACCTGTAAGACTCCACACTGGTCCACTTGCCTGGGTTGTGCTCATCTCTCCAGCCAGTCTACTCCTTCTCTTAATATACTGTCTCTACTGGCTTCATATTATCTTGTTTTGCTGGTTCCAGTATTTTGTCTGCTTACTTGCTTAATGCCCCACCTCCCTCCCCGTTCACATGCACACTTACTGGATGAGAAGGCTCAAGAGGACAGGCGTGTTTCTATCCTATTTCCTGCTATATCCTCATTGCTTAACTCAATTCCTAGGACATAGCAAGTGCTCAATAAATATTTGTTGAATGACCTAATGGTGAACTGCTTCTCATGTGAGCATCCTAGTGCCCAGAGTTCAAGGTGAGAAAGGGTTAAGGCAACTGAAATCTATTGTGATATTGCTGACAACTGCTGTCATTGCAGGTGTCCTGAAAGTCTTGCTGGTTGGCATTGGTTATTCTCTTCCCCTTCTTGGCAAACGCCCAAGCAACAGTCTGAAAATAATTCCAGCAACTGAGTGTATACCCACCCTCAGTGATCCAGAGGCTTGGGAAGAAAAGCAGCCAGACGTTTCCAGACACCAAGCATTGCCCCTTTGAGCAGTGACATTTATTTTAATTTTTTTCCTATGGAAATGTCACCAAAATATATCACGCACAATTTTCTCCTAGGGAGAGGGTGTGGTATAGCGAAATGAGTGTTGGCTTAGGGTCAGTTGAATGGGGTTTAAATTCTGCCTGTACTACTTGCTGGTTTCATGGCCCGGGTCAACTCACTTAGCTTCTGTTTGTCTCAGTTTCCATATCTGTAAAATGGGAGACTATTAACGCAGTGTTGTGAGGATGTGGATGGTTTATGTAAGGGACAGGAACACAGCAAGGGTTTGCTCATTGAATGGGAGCGAGCAGCCTCTTTTAACTTGAAGACACAGAACCTAATGCTACATTTTTGGGGTACTGAACACCCAGGGCTGTGAGAGGCCGCAGGCGCTGCAGCATGTAGACGTCCTTGTTTCTTAAGTCCCTGTGTCTGTTTTGTAGAATTGCCCTGTTTCTTGCTTCCTGCTGACTGTCATTTCTCACGCCTCCCGGGGCATTTCCAGTTCCACCTCCTAGTTTACTGCAGTCTTACGATATGCGAGTTTATTAAACAGATGTGCAAACTAGGAGTTTGTAGGCTTCGAGGGAAAGTGTAAGGGGCTTCTCTGGGAACTGGAAAAGCTTCCCCAAGAATGTGGGTTTGGGCTGCTCAGAGGCCCCCTTGGCTGGTCTCTGGAGTCAGGGGGGCCTGGATATGAGTCCTGGCTTCATCACTTACAGGCTCCCTGACCGAACTTGTTTCCTCATTTCTAACAGGAAGATTATAATACTACTCACAGGTTAGTCACGGTTAAATCCTTGGAACATAGTAGTTGCCCAATAAAACATGGTGAGAATTACTCCCATCTGTGCTCAGCTGAGTTCGATGAGTTTTCAGAGGTTCAGACATATAGTCTGATTCATCTTGAGGATGGGTCTCTGATCCTTTGTACAAAAATTAACTTTGTCCTGACACTGAAGGACCAAAATTGTTTATTTCTAAGTACAATTAAGAAAAAATTCTGAAACTTTGTGCTGGAGGGAAGCTAGGAGCTCCCCAAGAAAAAACACAGCATTTCTCCCCACCATGGAGTCAGGGTCTTGAGTGGCTTTGGAAATTTGGATAGGAAGGAAGTGGGCAACGTTGTGACTCTATACTGGGGATAGATTTTCAACTTCCTAAGTTCCACAGAGAAGAAGCAAAGCTAAGGAAGGAAGTAACTCTCTGACAGCCTGCCTTGCTTTGGGCACTTCTAGATTTTTATCCAGCCTCTGTGAAATAGCTACCATTCACACTTTCCAGATAAGGAAAACTGAGGTTCAGAGAGATTAAGTATCCTGTCCAAGGTCACACAGCTGTCTTAGAGCAGGATTTGAACCCAGGTTCACTGGCCCCAAACTCACATCTTTTCCATTGCCCCACACTGCAGCCAGAAGACCGTGGGGAACTGGACTGAATCCACACCCACCAGGAAGCCACACAATGGATGCCAGCTGATCAGGTCCCTTTGCTGATAGCTTTGTGGGCTTGGAGTAAAGAAAGAAGATCCCTGGGTCTACTATATAAAGGTCTTGGGCTTTGGGTCAGCTCTGGCCTATGATCCTAGGTCACTTGCTAACTAGTACAACATTGGGTAAGCTGCTTCTCTTTTCAGGGCCACACTTTTGACATCTGGGAAGTGTTCTATGATTTTGAAACATGACCAATGCTGCTGTAGGAAAGATGTGAGAGCTGTGAAGGGAGTAAGGCATGGGTGGCCAAAATGGAACATGTGATCTGGCACCTGGAGGACCTGCATTCAAACTCAGCTTTCCTTCTTACTGGCTGTGTGCCTTTGGGCATTGCTGAGCCTCAGTTTTTCCATCTGAAAATGAAGATAATAATATCTCAAGATATAGAAAGAATTAAATGACAACGTTGCATGAGAGTTACAGGAAGAAAAAGCAATAACTCAAGAGCCGCCATCTGCTTTGGCTCATCACAGATAGGAAAGTCCTGAAACAAGCTAGGTGTAGAATATAAGGCAAAAGTTCTTAGTTGAGGTGACCCATAAGCACTACACACACCTGTTGCAGGGCTTGAAGACCCACCTGACTTAGGACAGAATGAGGATCAAAGTCTACAGAACTGATGGAAACTTCCAAATTGCTGGAAGTTGGTTCTAGCTGCTCCACTGCCTATAGTTTCTGGGTAGACCTGGATCCACGTTGGAAGACAGATAACTAGACCATCTCAGTAGCCTCCTTCCTGGCTGGTCTCCCAGTCTCCAGTATCATAGAAATGTCACTGCATGTGGCTATCCAGTGGCTCCCCATGGACCCCCAAACAAGCCTGAGCTTCTCAAACACAGCCCCCATTCTCACCCCACTACTCCTGCCTTGCCCTTAATGCTAAAGCAGACTTAACCCTTCCTGGTTGCTCCCCATCACAGCAGGCTGTTTCTCTCCTCCAAGCCTTTGCTCAGGCTGGACCCTCTTACCACTTTGGCAAAATTGTATAAAACATTTAAGGTACAGCTCAGTGTCACTGTCTCTGGGAATCCTCTCCTCTGAGCTCTCATAACAACCTATGCATATCTCCATACGCACGCACTGGATTGTAACTACGTTTTCATGTTTCTCTCTCCCCAATTAGAGTTGGACTTTCTTAGAACATGACTTATTCACAGCTAGTTGAGTACTGTATTTCAAACAGTTAAACAGTGCCTGGCACAAAGTGAGCACTCAAAAAGTGTTCATTGAATGAATGAATAAATGAATCATTTTTACCTCCTGTGCCCCACTCCACTACTGGCGTATAAGATACTCAATACATGCTCGTTGAACAGAACTGAGCCCATCTGAAAGCTGTTCCACCCAACACTCTGCTTGGTTTTAAGGGACTGTAGTCCCTTGAGCTCTGAGCAAAGCCAGCAGTCAACACAGGAGCTGCTGCCCTTGTGCAAATTGTAGCTTATTTAAAAGGGATGCCCACCTTCCTGATCGCCATAAGCCTATGGACTGCACTGGGTCAGCTTAGCCACTGAGACGATTTCACTGCCTGGGCCACAAGTATGCTCCTGAACTCCAGTAGCCACTTGTGAAAATCAGCAGTGTGACTTTGACTTCAAGTACCCCTGTGGGACTCTAGCACTCTAAGGCCCTAAACTGGACTGGCCCAGAGGTCTTGTCCCATTCCTAATCTCTGAGCATGTTGTTTTCAGAATTCAGCAAGTCTGTCCATCTGGCTGTTAACGGCAGTCAGACATGGAAAGATGATCTTGCCAGGAGACTGTTTCCAGGCCTCCAACCCCACTAAATATATTTATCATAGGCGTGTTCCAGAAAGTTCTCTCACAGGCCTCCTCAGGTCCCCATCAGCGTGTTCCCTCTCACCCAGTCCTAATACCTCATTGTGGAGAGACAGGCTCCTGGGTCAGTGGCCCTCCTCTGAACTGGCCTTGGGGCTGCTGACCCTCTGCTTCCAGGAAGCCCTGCTCCTGGCCAGTCTTGCCCATCGGCATCACCAGTGACATGATTCAACTGGAAAGGTGCATGGTGTAGAGAAGAAAAACTGCAAACTCCGGGTTAGGAACCCCCCTCACCTGACAGGCGCTCCCCGTGACTGAGCAGGCTTCAGCATCACTGTGATGGTCGTGTCTGTTTCATTCAGCGGGGTGTCAGTGTCGTATTCAGGCATCGATGGAGCTGGGCAGAGAACAGAGAGAGGAGGGAGCTCAGCATAGGGCCCAAACCCCGCCTAACCCTCCCCTGGATACATCCTTAAAGACGCTCAGGATGACCAGAAGGAGGACATTTAGGAAAGGGTTAGATGAGAGCCACAGGGCATCTCAGGCTTGCAGCAGAGGAGGCCCTGACTTCCAACCTGCCCATAGGTTCCCTCAAGGTGCAGAAGAGTGTGGGGAAGGGTGGCAATGATGTGGCCAGTAACCCTCATGAATCAAAAAGGTCCACACCGAATAAACAGATAAACGCAGGAAATATAAGCACTTATCAAAGACGCGAAACCAGAGTCAACCTTGTTGAACATACTTAAAATGCAAATTACAGCAGTGATGAACTAGTTCCTCTCGTCTTTTTTTTTTTTCATGAGACCCTCCCTCACTCATCCCCAGAGATAGGAGTGTGACTAAGTCTAATCCCTTGGGAAGGTAATTTAGCCATTTGTATTAAGAGCTATTAAAACCCACATCCCTTTTAATTCAGTATTTCAATTTCTGGAATTTAATCCTAAAGTTATAATCCAAACCAACGAATTAAACTTTATTCTGTAACATGTTTATTGAAGCGTTATTTTATAAAAACATGGAAGCACCAAATATATCCAACCACAGGGGAATGTTTAATTAAATTACGTCCATCCACTTGACAGAACATTATAATGAAAGCAATGTAGCGACATGGAAAAGGCCTATGGTATAAGGATAAGTGAAAACATTAAGCCACAAAAACCACCATGGGTCTGTATCTATGCAAAATGTGTATGTATGCAGACCAGAATTGCATAGGTACTCTGAAAAAGTGTAAATTGTAAAAAGGGTTCTGAGATAATTCTGCTTTGATGCTGTCTAATGATGGAGGCAGCCCTACTGGTGATGACAGGGGAAATCTTGGACTGCCATAGCTCTGTAACCGTCATTCCTTCATTCAGTCATTCATTCATCAGACACGTCATGAGAACATGTGCTGTGCCCTGCACTGCCAAAAGGAATATTCCTGAAAATAAATCACATTTTTATAAGCCAATTGGTATGAAAAAAATGTACTATGTAATGCAACTGTGTGGTAAGTTATTTGGTGAGTCACTCAGTGTTCCCTCTGGTCTAATCTAATTAATATATTTCTTACACTTTAGGAAGTTCGTGGATTGGGTTTTCTTCATGAGACTACAGTGGTAACACACGAGGGACTGCATCACCCTAATTGCTCCAAAACCACATAGTGACAGTTGGCTCTGCCCTTTTTCATTCCCAGAAAAATCAGGAATGGGAAAACAATTAAAAAAAAAAAAAAAAACAATGTAACTCCTTTCTTCCTTTTCCCTTTCTAAGAGAGATACCTGAAATTTTGGTGGCGATCCTCGTGGTGACGGGGGGTCCAAAGCCCTTTGCTGTGCTGGCCTTGATGGTGAAGGAGTAGGTGGTCCCTGGGTACAGACCCACAAAGAGGTGGTGTGTTTCATTCCGGAGTTTGAACACCTTCCCCCTCTGGCTGGAGAGGTCGGCACTCGGGTCCAGTGAGCCAACAGCCTTGTAGTTGATCTGCACAACAAGGCAGCAAACAGACAGATAAATACCTCACTCGGGAAGCTGGATGGAGCTCATCTGGAGGAACATCAGGGGAGAAGGGGAGAAGGCATGAGAGCTTGACCAGCAGGTTCTGCTGTTACTGTCCACCTCACAGATTATTCCAGCCTCCAGACACTCCCCCGCTGATGCTCTGGAGCACTGCTGTCCAATAGAAATAGAACGCGAGGCACAAACATGCTTTTCAATTTTCTAGTGGCCATATTAAAAGAAAAAAAGGAAAATAGAAAGTAAAGTTAATTTTAATACTATATCTTGTTGAACCCAATATATGCAAAATATTACCATTTCAACATGTAAGCAACATAAAAAATTGAGATATTTTATAGTTTACTATTCACATTAAGTCTTAGAACTCTAGTAAGTATTTTTCCCGCACAGCACATCTCCATTCAGACGAGCCGCATTTCAAAAGCACAGTAGCCCCATGTAGCTGGTGGCCACCATATTGGACAGTGCAGCTGTAGGGCAGTCTCGAAGTGTAGCATCTTGATAAAAATTATTTGCGGGGCTGGCTGGGTGGCGTAGCAGATAAGTTCATGTGCTTTGCTTTGGCAGCCCTGGGTTCGCGGGTTCAGATCCTGGGTACAGACCCACGCACTGCTCAAGCCATGCTGTGGCGGTGTCCCACATAAAAAATAGAGGCAGATTGGCACAGATGTTAGCTCAGGGCCAATCTCCCTCACACACACACAAAAATATTTGCAAGTCTTGTTAAAAATATATTTTACGGTCCCCAACTCCACTTAGAGAACATTTGTTGTCCAGTGCTGTCTCATGCATTATCTTATTTGTCTCCCCCCCAAAACCTTGGCGGCATCAGGATATTTATTCTCACTTTAATGATGGAGAAATGAGGCTCAACTGGAAGCAACTTGCATGGAATCAGCAATTTCCAAACTCTCTATGGTGAAGGCTCAGTTTTGTGTTTTCCAACCCATTGCATCCCCATAGTAATGCAAAGACCACATCACATGTGACTCATCATGTGAGTTTGGCAATAACTACACTGGTCTATACCCTGTGCAAGGACACATGTCCACCGATCGTGCATGTGGCTGTCACAGCCATGTCAAGGCACTCTAAGAGTTTCTAAGTGCTCACTCTCAGTTTCTGCACTTACCCTGCTGTGAAAGCAACTGAACAGTTGCCATCCACTACTGGCTTCCATGGATCACACTTTGGGTACCACGTTTCTAAATTACACAGTTGGTAAAGTGGCACGCCCAGGATTTTTTGTTCATTTGTTTTACCTAGTTTGTTCTATTAAAAATGTTTTATTTGAATATAATATACATACAGAAAGCTAGACAGCTCGATGAATTTTTACTGATTGGACACAGCCATATGACCAGCACCCAATTAAAAGACAGAACATTACCAGACCTAAGCTTTTCCCTTCACGCCCCCTTCCAATCCTTATCCGCCTCCCCCAGCAAGGATACCCTCTATCCTGACTTCTAACAGCAATGACGAGTTTTGCCTGGTTTTTAACTTTATATAAATGGAATTGTACAGGGTGAACTCTAGGGTCTGGCTTCTTTCACTCAACATTATGCTTGTGAGATTCATGCGGGCTGTCACGTGAAGCTGTAGATCACGCATTCTCATGGTTATTCAGTATACTATGCCCGACACAGGACTAAATTCTGGTCTACTGGACTCTAAAACCTGTGCTCTTTATTCTATACCACACTGCCCAGCCTGGAAACACATTTCATTAATTGAAGAACACATTCATTCATTCACTTATTTGTTCCTTCACAAATGGTTCCTGCATACTCCAGGACTCTAGGACCTGGGCTGTGTGCTGCTGGGGGCCCCCAAATAAATACAAGCCAGGCCCTGTCCTCAAGTGTCTTCTCTTCTAGAAGCAGGTAAGTCAACTACACAGGCACCTCACATCACTTTGTCTTCCATCCAGAATGTCCCATGCTTGACAGGAAGGCCAAACCCAGGTAGAAAAGGGAACACACCAAATTTGCTTCAAAAATAAGCACTTTGGTGTTTCTGGCGAGGGCACCAAACGTTTTGGAGGAAGAGGTAACTTCTCTCTCCTGCATTAAGCATTGATGCCACATGTCTAGGAGAGAGGCCAGATTTTGTCTGGAGCAGAGTGAGTCCAGAAGGAGAAATGCACGGAGCTGAAGGATTTGGGCATTTTGCAAGCAGAGCTCGGGGAGCGGCACCCATCCTGCAGCTCCCTGGTGGGCCTGGCCACAGCATTCCTTCTGGTCACCCCTGCCCGCTCCAGCCCTTCTCAGAGGCGAGTGCTGCAAACATCCGCCTCTCTTGGCTTGAAGGCTTTTTCCATGGGTGTTCGTAGGAAGTGCTGGGGGATTGACACCCCTGGGGACTGGACTGATGGGGGTGGATGCAGGCATTCCCCAGGCTCCTTTCACGTGACACCCCCACAGCATCCTGGGGGATTCTGCTCCACTTGCCTCCAAAGGTAGCTGGCTGCAAAACACACCCATCATTAGCTGCCATCCTTTCTCCTCCCCACGCCCTAGTGTTTCCTAAACTTCTCAAGACTCTGTTCGTATTCAAATCCTTGTCTCAGGGTCTGCTTCCAAGAAATGCCAAACTACACAAAGTGCTCAGGGAGGTATCTCAGGGGAGAGCTCAACTCCTACCCAAGGATGATATGGAATTGGAGCAGAGGAAGGAGTGTTCTAGGTTCTAGGCAGAGGGACAGACCGCGCAAAGGCCGGAAGAACTGAGGAAAGTCCAGTGTGGCTGGAGAGTGGTGAGAAATGGGGGAGTCGAATTTCCAGGGTGCAGCTGGATTCAAGTCTTCCCTCGTGGCAGAAGGAGGGAAACGTTCAGAGATTTTTCCCTGGGGCAGCTAACCTCAGTCCACCAGTGGAGAAGACATGCTCGTGCCTCCTTTTGAAATTCCACCCCAGTCCCCCGCCTGGGCTGGTGGCAACCTTATTGATATACAGACACGGGGAGGTAAAACTCATTCCTTATTTACTAGCCAATTCCTTTACTGCGCTCCAAATTCAATCCAAAAGCGGCTCAATTTCCACCAAGCTGTCAATATAAAATACTGCGCTCCCCTGCTCTCCTAACCTTTCCTGGTATTACAGGATCTTCACTTACTTGTAATGAAACACTATGAATAAATCAATGTATGTTAATATAGCGTGTCTTCAATTTTTTATGAAGAGCTTCACCAAATCTAATTCCCACTGCTTTGTCAGAAACAGTCTTTGAAAAATTTAACTTGCAAGTTTTACGAAGTTAGTGGGGGATTGGGCTGGGGAGGGAAAGAAGGAAGGTGAGAAAAATGGAATGGGGTGGAACCGTGGCCGTAAAATGCATAATGCAATGTGAATCTTCGTTTAGAAGTGGAGAAAGAGGAAGATGCATTAGAATAGCAAACATAAAACAAAGAGTTAGCAGGGGAAATGGTGCAGGGGTGCACGTTAGCCGTGGGCTCCAAGGACTGGGCTCTGGCTGCAACAAAGTGTTTGGGGCCACCCCGGTCTCTTCTGGTGGCCGTTAGTGGGATCCCCAGCCAAAAGCCAGAGTGAGCATTTCATAACAAGAATTGAATCACATCACCCCTTAGAATCAAAAGAGCAATGGTTTCCCATAGCTCTCAGGATTAAGACACATCCTTATCCTCTGGTCTTCATAAGCTCACTGCAGGAGCTTGCCTGTCCTGCCCTTCCTCTTGCTTCTTAGGCATTATTTCAGTGTCTGAAAAGAGCCGTGGTCCTTTTTGCCACAGGGCCTTTGCACCAGCTATTGTCAGCTCAGAACATTTTTTCCTTCCCATGCCTCCCCTTCACCTAGTTAACGACTCCTCATCCTTAGATCTCATTTAAAATGACACTCTCCAGGGCTGGCCCTGTGGCATAGTCATTAAGCTCAGTGAGCTCCACTTCAGTGGCCCGGTTTGCAGGTTCGGATCCTGGGTGTGGACCTACACCACTCATCAGCTGTGCTGAGGCAGCAACCCACATATAAAGTGGAGGAAGATTGGCACGGATGTTAGCTCAGGGCTAATCTTCCTCAAGCCAAAAAAAAAAAAAGAGGAAGATTGGCAACAGATGTTAGCTCAGGGCAAATCTTCCTCAGAAAAGATAAATAAACAAAAAATAAAATGACACTTTGCACGGGCACCTTCTCTAACTCCCACGTCCTCCCAGAGTCACATCTCTCTCCTTTGAACCACTAATTTGACATCTAACCATGCAAGTATTTCATTAATGAGTCCCTTTTCTACCAGCCCAGGGATCGCAAAGGTAAAGCCTCAAAGCCAAATTTGGCCCATTATCTGTTTTTGCAAATAAAACTTTATTGGAACACAGCCACATCGTTCATTTATATATTATCTACTGCTGCTGACATACTACAATGGCAGAATTAAGTAGTTGCGACAGAGATCCTATGGCCCACGCAGCTTAAAATATTTGCTGTCTGGCCCTTTACAGAAAAAGTTTGCTGATCCCTGTACTAGACCTTAAGCACCAAAAGGGCAAGATTCTTATTTGGTTTTTGTTCAACATTTCCTCCCCTTGCATGTATAAATGAAGGATCGAACTAGCTGTCTGGCTTGAGCAATTTGCATAACCTCTCTGAACCTTGGGTTCTTCAAGGGTTAAATAATAATTTTAATTTCAGTTTCCATTTTGATTTATGTCGCAGAGTGACCCCTAGCTTCTTTAGTCCTGGAAGGCAGCCCCTTTGTTCAGGAGTAAGGCTCCAGGGAGTCCATGGGTGACTTTAGCTTTTGCCTCAAGGCTCCAGCTACCATGCACCAAGTGACATCTTAGGAAGAACAGGCAGTCCTTCCACCCTGGGCGGAAGAGTAGGCGACAACGATTTCCCTCAAAGATCCCCATCAGGGGGCCGGCCCCGTGGCTTAGCGGTTAGGTGCGCGTGCTCTGCTACTGGCGGCCCGGGTTCGGATCCCGGGCGCGCACTGACGCACCGCTTCT